ACCAATCATTGGAATTAAAATATGAACTGCATGATTATCTTCATTAAGAAGCTTCTTTTCAAGCTTCCTCTGCTTCTTCCTTTTCAAAAATCATAGCCCGAGTTTTGCCTTTGCTTGTAATTGGGATCATTGCATAATGACTTCCTATTTTTTACCAGAAGAAGTGCATCAGCAGCCTTAGTCATTTGAGCGGCACATATAAAATTTGCCAATTCTGCAATTGATGAATCTGGACCATATTTCTCCAGGGCTATTGAAGTTTCAGCCCATGATAATCCCATTTTTGTCAAGTATAACAGTTTATTCTCCTCATCAGAATCAGAAGTCAAGATTTCTCGGTATTAGAAGAACTATCGATATCTGTGAAATCATCTTGAAAGGTCACTTCATAATCAGATGAATTGTTATCAGAATCAACATGTTGCCTGAATGCAAGCTTTTCAAGAGCCTATACTATTGAGTTTTATTCTCAAGAGGTTTTGTGACATTATATCTACATCTACATTTGTCAAAGATGATAGATTCTTTGTTTTGAAGAAGAAAGATCTATTGGGTTTTTACAATTGAAGAAATACTCAATTCACCAATCTGAAATCAAATAACTTAACATTCATGCATCATATTTTAGGTGTTTACAAAAATAGGTGCATTTTCATTCATTTTTATTCTTGTTGAATTTTTAACAGGAATTTCAAAGATTTTAGCAAAGATTCAAATCTATCATTTGATGGATTATCTTTGCCAGGTAAAGTTCATAATGAGAAGAACTCATCTGAAGAAGGAAGAAGAAGTTCATAATGAGAAGAATTTGTTCAACCTTTTACCTGAATTCATCAAATTGATGGATTATCTTTTCCAGAGAAGGTTCATAATGAGAAGAACTCATTTGAAGAAGGAAGAAGAAGTTCATAATGAGAAGAATTTGTTCAACCTTTTACCCGAATCCATCATTTGATGGATCAGTCTTTTCCAGAGAAAGTTCATAATGAGAAGAACTTATCTGAAGAAGGAAGAAGAAGTTCATAATGAGAAGAATTTGTTCAACCTTTTTTCTGAATTCATCAAGTTGATGGATTATCTTTGCCAGGTAGAGTTCATAATGAGAAGAACTCGTCATCTGAAGAAGGAAGAAGAAGTTCATAATGAGAAGAACTTGTTCAATCTTTTGCTTGAATTCATCATTTGATGGATCAACATTGCAGGTAGAGTTCATAATGAGAAGAACTCGTCATCTGAAGAAGGAAGAAGAAGTTCATAATGAGAAGAACTTGTTCAATCTTTTGCTTGAATTCATCATTTGATGGATCATCATCCCCAGCAGAAAGTTCATAATGAAAAGAACTCATCTGAAGAAAGAGAAGAATTTATTCAATATCTCCATTATAATCAAGTGAAGCCAAATGGATAAAAATTTTATTATCTTTTCATCTTTGCCCTATTCTTGTTAACACAAGAATGAGCAAAGAGGGGCAGCTGAAGATATTAATTTTTTATCCATATTATTATTATTAGTTATTATTATTATTATTATTATTATTATTATTATTATTATTATTATTATCATTATTATTATTATTATTAAATATATATTAAACATATATATATAAATAATAATTACATACCAATTAAAATTGGACCGGCCCAGTTACAAACCAACCATAACCGGTCCAAATCAAACCAGAAACCCTAAACATTTGGGTTTCCAGTTAGGGTTTCCTAACCCTAATCTAAACCAGCCGCCTCATCACAACCGTTGGATCTGGCACGATCCAACGGTCCAGATGGCTCCAGAGGGAAACCCTAGGGTTTGATACCCTAGGGCCACACGGCGCCGCCCCAGCTTCCACGCGGCTGCCGACAGTTTCCTCACCGCCTCCGCCGCTGCCACGTCCCAACCGAAGACCCCAGAAGATAGAATACCAGCCGTCCACGCCATGGCTACTCGGTGAGTCACCACTGGTAGTCCGGTGACTCACCGAGAGCCCTTCTTCGGACCGGTCCGACAGCTACAACGGTGGTGGCTATAAAAGCCACCACCCCATCTGCGAAAAAAAAAAAAAACAGAGAGAGACAGAAACCGAGACAGAACCAGAAAAAAAAAAAGGAAAACAGAGAGAGATACAAAACTACCAACGATCCCAGTCCACAACAACAGAGCAAAAACAAAAACGGAAGGAAAAAGAGAGGAGAGAAGCTTACCAAGGAAGCCTTGACCATCGCCGGAAGCACTAAACATCGCCGGAGAACCGAAAATACCGAAGGTATTTTCATAGATTTACTCCGATTAGGAGTCTTTTTGAGGAAATAAAGGTTGGATCCGGTCTTAGGGTGTTTAGATCTACGTTTTAGGTGAATTTGGGGATTTTCCGACCACCGGAGGCGGTGGTCGGCGGCAGAATTCACGGCGGCAGACGGCTGCCGGATTCCCTCCGGTGAGGGAATCTAGAGAGAGGCCAGAGAGAATTCTGGCTCTCTCTACTTGAAAAAAAAAGAAGAAATGAAATGGCTGGCCCGAAATCATATATAGTCCTTCCCGAACGACGTCGTTTCGGGAAGGACTATGCGCATAATTATAAAATAGTTAAATCCCGTCCGTAGTCCTCCCAACTTGTAAATTTTATATTTTGGTTGCTAAACTGAATTTATAATAATTTTAATTCAGTCTTTGAATTTTAATTTTATTCATTTTAGTCCCTTTTATTAAAATAATATATTTAGGATAAATGACAGATTTAATCCCTTAATTTTAATAAATAATTTTTTAATCCCTAGTTCATATTTTTAATTTATTTTATTATAAAATTCGAATTTTAAATAATTTTATTTTGGTCACTAAATTATTAAATTAAAAAAATAAATTATTTAATCCCTATAATTTCAATTAATTAGGAATTAGATTTAATTTTATTTTTATTATAATTTAGTTATTTATTTTATATGTTTTCATTTTACTGCTTAAAATATATTGTTTTAGTGATATTTTTATTATATTGTTAAATATTTTTATATATTCATAAATATACATATAATAAATAGTATTTTTAAATATTTATTTTTAATATCAAAGAAAAGGACAGTCTTAATACAACTGGATGTCCTATTCTGATATTTTAAAATTAAAAATTAAACAATATTATTTAAATTAATATTTATCAATATCAAAGAAAAGAGCTGTCTTAAGGCACCTAGAAGTTCTTTTCTGATATTTTTAAATAAATAAATATATTTTTGAAATAATAAGATTAAAAATTAAATATATTCTTGAATTTTTAAATTTTAATAATAGAGACAATTTATAATTAAAAAGTACCAATTTTGGGCGTTGTAGGGGTGCTAATCCTTCCCTAAACGTAACCGACCACGAATCCCTTTTTATTATTAAGAACGAATTTTTGGTTATAAAACGCAGATCAGTTCATTTTTTTTATTTGAAGTTTTCTTAAAAAACTCTTTTAAAAGAAAATTTTTTTAGGTATTCGACCTACCTGATCTAAAAGGTCGATGGCGACTCACAAATTATTTTCAAAATTATTTATTCACATCACTTTCCCCGCCAAATTTAATATTTCGTGCCCGGACGAAAACCGGTTACGACAAGACAAAATAACAAAAATAACTCATTAGATGGATCATGCAGTTCTTGTTTGAGTTTATGAGTGCATACCAGCTGAAGGCAACCATTTGCTCCCGAACAACCAGGTGATACGACTTGAACACTTTTTGCTTTAGCAACTATAGAGGGGAAGAGTTCGGTCCATTTGTTCTACAATAAGAAATACTCCACACATTTTAAAATGATTTTAATTTATACTATTAACCATGACCATCGGACGAAATTTTCATAGAAAATTCAAGGAAAGGCAGCGTACGGCATCAAGGAATGCATCTATTAAAGTCATGCTATTCATTATAACGACTGCACTATCACGGCTAGCTTCAGTCCAAAACTCACTCGAGCGCTGCTCGACATTTAAGGGCCAACGGAACACCTTCGCATGCTCTTCGAGGTTAAGCATTTCCCTGCCATTTTCATTGTTTCGGATCCAAAGAGGCTCATTTGTTCTGCACATCTTAACCAGTTCGTCCATGGAAGACATAGCAAGCTCCATGGCAATAGTTTTCTCCTCCTCCGTTAAAAATAGATTGTTATTCTCGGGAAAGGAGGCTGCTTCAGACAGCATTGGGGCCATAGGCTCTGGGAATTGCCTTGGATAAATGCTCATGTCCAAATCTAATGAAGGTGGCATTAATGCACCCATTGTTTGAATTTGTCGCCCCATATAGCGCGAGGCAATGACGCAGACACGTTCCAATTGTTAAAACATATCAACAGTGACAGTGGATTTAGATTTTCTTAAAATCGAGTGGACTTTGCCATTGCTTTGAACCTAATATGGTCATTAGCGTTATTGACAGATAATATGTATAACCTCTTCTTCAAGACGTGCGTTCTCTATACGAAGTTCTTCAAAGGAAACCCCTCCAGGCACAGGTGGACCATCACAATTTGAACAAACAAGTTTGCTGAGTTTCGCTTGAAGCAGGTAGAACTCATTCTTGAGAGACTCATTCTCAGAGTATGGCAATCTCGGATCGATCTTGTTGAGCCTGGCAATTAGTTTAAACCAACAAGATTCAAAATCAAACATTAATTAATGAGTATACATAAATTATATAATCTGCATTAACTGTGAGAACCCTTTGGGAAGCAAAGAAACAGGTAAACTAGTTTATTGTTGAACCCAGTCCACATTTATGAATACAGACTGTAGTTGCAGTGGCCCCAAATAAAAGAAGATCCTTCGTTTTCAGCAGTTCAGGGTTTGACATGGTTTAACATGCAAACCCATCAACGCGTTTCCTTGGGACTCGGGTTTTTTTTATTTTTCAGTATGGAGGGAAGAAGATGAAATCAAGTTATTTTAATTTCACATTCATCTGAGTGCGGCGATTCTGGAACCAAAATTTGACTTGGCGAGGCTTAAGGCCAAGTTCTTGGTTTAATCTCATCCTTTGCTTGTCATCTGGATGGGGACTCTCCCTAAAAACACTGCAAAAAACCAAGCATTGGTCTCTATAAACAAAGACAATGTTTAATTAGAATAGGTAAAAGAAAAGAGTTAAAGATAAGGGGGAATACGCTTCCAATTCTTGGATCTGGTGAGCAGTGTGTCGGTGGTAACGTTTCTTCTTGAGGGGCTGCTCACTGCTGTTCTGTTCATTCCCAAGCTTGTCTTCAGCTTGTTGTTCATTCCCAGACCCGCTTTCCATATCCTCTTTCCCTCCCAGCAATAACCCATTTTCTTCTTTCTATTCAACACCAAAAAAGGTAAAATAAAATGAATAAATTGTACTAGAAGAAGTGCAAGAATAAGGGAAGATGTGTGTTTGAATGACTTACAGGGATCATAGGAGGGAAAGGTTCGAGAGGCAAGAAGTTGAAATTAGGGTTTTGAAATGTTGATGGAAATAAGGTTTCTGAAGAGAGCATGTTCCTTGCCATTGATGAAAGGACTGGAAATTCTTCATACATTTTTAGTGCATGAAATTAGTAGTGCTCTTGGTGCACCTGCAACAGTCAAATACTGTAAGGCAAAAACATTTTAACAGAAAGAAGAAAAAAAGAGCCTTCAAGGGAAAGTAAACATTCACTGGTTTAACCATAAAAGAAACTACTTCAATCCAAATATGTATGTAAAATAAATTGTGAAGAAGCAGGCTGTAATCTATAAGACGAGAAAATCAGTCTAAAATTGAAGATGAATGATGTGATCCTATCCAAAAAAAATAAATAAATAAGAAAAGAAAAGAAAAGAAAAGTGTCTCAGGGATCCGTTAGACTTAAAAATATTAATTCGGGGAAAGTGATGAAATTCAATATTGGAACAATTTGATTTTTGAGTCGTTATCAACCTTTAAATTAGGTAGGTTGGAAACCTTAAACGATAAAAATGATATGTGTTTTACCAAAAACTCATTTTTAAGAGTTCAAAAGTCGATTACGTGTGTAGAAGGGTGAACACCCCCACAACGCCCAAATTTTGTTACCTAAACGATTATATGTTGTTTAAATATTGAGAATTACAAACTTTGAAAATATCTTTAAATTATGATCCTTCTATTTATTCAAATTTATTTAAATAATGTTAATTTTTAAAAAAATTAAAATAAGGGTTGTAATGGATTAAAAAGATTAAATAGCCCAAATTATTTTTATAAGAGAAAATACATCATTTTCTACGAACAATCCTTGAAAATCCATTTCCTTTATAGTTAGGAGACTTTTTAATGGTTTCCCTTCACAAAATGATGTTATTTTATATTTTTCAAAAATAAATAAAATAAAATGAAAAGAGGTAAAATAATTAAAATAAGTAAACTCAAAGCAAAGAAAATTATCAAATAAAAAACCTTTGTGTGAATAATCCTCGAAAAGATACATTCCCTTGTAGTTGGGAGATATCTTCGTAGATTACCCTCACAATGAATTTTTTTTTCCATATTTTGGAAAACAATGTGCACATAAATAAGGGACAAAAATAGTACTAACAAAAACTTGAAAGGATAAACATAATTACAAATAAACCAGAATCAATATCACATAAATTAAATAATATAGGTGATGGAAACAAAAATAACTCATAAATAATATTAATGACTGAAATGAAACAAACCAAAAACACCAAGGTGCAAATAATAATTAACCCTAAATATAATCCTATTAAATAGTGATTAAAATAGAAGAATAAGAAAACATAGGGTCAGATTCGAATATTGGCAAACATAATATGATATATGATATGGTGACTAAAATGTAAAAGTGAGAAATTAAATACTTGAAAAGAATAATACAAAACTATGATTAATGGCCAAAATAGAGTGATACAAACATCGAGGGGCCTAAAATTCTAGTAGCCCATGCACGAAAATATGCTGAAGCCCCCCCACATGACATCGTTTTAGCCCCTACATATATATAAAAAACATGGCCAAAATGGCCCAACACTCTCATTTGCTATGTTTCTCTTAAGCCCGAGGAGAGAGATAATTATTCTCTTAACTCTCCTCCCTTTTCTCAATCCTCCATCGCGAGGAAACCCAGAAATAGCCATAACCGCCGTGAGGCGACGACGATGGCCTTGAAAATAGGCTCAAAACCACCCTTGACCTCACCTCTCTCACTCCTTTTCTGAAAACCAACCCCTACCCAAAACATGACTCACCCCAGAACCCCCAAACCTAAGAACGAGAGGGTTTTACCTTCAGTGGTTGATAACCGTCGTTTGCTATCAGAATAATTCCTGGCTTCTTAATAAATAAAAAGGAAAATGTAGTATAGAGAAGCAGAGTCAATCCACAAGGACTATGGTTTTTGTGATTTAGTAAAATTATTTCTTGATTTTAAGAAAAGATAAAATTCCAGGTAAAATTAAAAAGGTATAATAAAATAAATAATTATAAAAAATAAAAATAATAAAATAATAAATATTAATAGTAATAAATATAAAATGGGATTTTAAAAGTTGTTTTTAAAATAAAAGATAACAATTAAATAAAAGAAATCAAATAAATAAATAAATTAAAGAGATTGAGATAAAGAGAAACTTATTGTGAAAGCAACCTCAGATTTCAGCTTTATCTCAAATTCCTCGGATCATCGAAACATATTTTTACTTCAAGATTCACGTCGGCTTTACAAGGACAATTCTTCACTGCCAACTCGGATTGTGTCGTTTCAACAATGACTGATTCTGATCTCAGTTTCCTCTTAGCAAACAATTTTGCTAAGTGTGTTCTCGGGATGTCGAATATGCTTCAATAAGCAAATCCTTCTTGAAACGTTAAACATAACAATATCTGGACCAATGTCGAAATCGTTTTGATTTGAAAAGTAAGCTCAGAAAACAAAGAGAAAATCCGAAGCGATTTAAATACCTTACAATTCTCATGTTTGGAATTGAGCCTTCGCTTTAGCCTTCGGCTTGAAAGAAAATTAGCTAAGCATGACCAAAGTCATACTTAGCATAATAGAAAAGTATGAGAAAAATAGAGAGAAAGAGAAAAAAAGATTTTATTCTCAGATGAGAGAGATATGTCTCTAGGCTTACCCTTAGAGGGTATTTATAGAATTCAAATTCCTAAAAACAAGCTAAAACATCTTAAATCCTAATTAAAACACTTAAAACTATTTAAACTAAAATACCTAAAAAAATTAATATTTAAAATAGTATTATAAATCCTAATTAAAATACTAAAACGCATTTAAACTAAAATACCTAAAACAATGATAAAATATAAAACCTATTTAAACTAAAATACAAAGATAAAATATAATGTTTAAAATATTATCCTAAACTTGAGTTTAATTCAAATCCGAATTCCAGCCAGCTTTGATTCCGAAAATAAAAAAACTATAGAATTGTGTCATTTTTTTGCAATTTCCAGAATCTTACGTCCTGTACAGAAAATGAATTAAAATGAACAAATAAGCCACAAAAATCAATGATTAAGTAGTAATTTAAAAGTAAAATATTAAATAAATTAAGCACTTATCAAATTCCCCCTCACTTATTCAATGCTTGTCTTCAAGCATTCCTCAATTAACATATCAAAATCATAAGTTTTCATCTTCAATTTCAATTTATTCATCAAACTTCCAATCGAATTAAGTCCATGACATTTGCCGAATTCAAGTTACAATCAAGCAAAGACATAACCAAGAAAATTTAAAGTAAGCAAGGTATCCCAATTAATTGCCAATTTGAATGAAACATGACTCAATACCTCACAAAGATTCACACATATCCGCTCAAAGTGTTTGGGGTAAATGAAATCGCTCAAACCAAAACTAACCAAAATATTACCATAGGCTTGGAATCCAATCAAGTCTCCAATACGAAAAATGAACATAATGCAATAATCAAGGGGTCTTTAAACAAGGTGTAACGGGTCTTAGGTTAGGGTAGGGAAAAGGCCGAAAAGAAGGGTTTAAAACACCAAAACAAGAGATCAAAATAATTAAGAACAATCCATGAATTAACATGAAGTGGAATAAAGAACAAAACAAGGAAAAAGAATAGATGAAAGACAATTGAAGCGTTCGATTTTTCCTTCCCCCTTTTTTTTTACAAAGGATCTTTGTTTTCCTTCTTTTATTGTTGTTCGAAACAGTGAACAACTTATTTTTTTTTATTTTTTTGAAACATTGAATTTTTTTTCATGGAACAACAATGATACAATATCTCAAGTTTCGGCAAGGGTGAGAGGAAAAATAAAAAGAAAGGCTCTGGGTTTAATTATGAGATGTAAAACAAAGAAAGGGAAATAGGCTCAAATGTGGTTCGCTAGTGGATATATAAACGGGTATGCTTTTTGGGAAGAGTGGGTTTATCCTAGGTGCCCCTATCACATTAAAACATTACGTTCAACATGTAGTCTCGATATTCATTGTGATTACAAGTTCTAGAATATCCTAATTAGTTCGATACACACAAGTCAAACAATGAGCAAGAAAGAAAATGTATGCTCGTTAGGGTCGAATCTCACAAGAAAAGTTTATATGCATTGAGCCAAGTTCGTCTCTATCGACAAAATCATGAGATATCAATAATCAACAAAAATTCACTAGTTATTTCAATCACTAATCATGCAAATTAAATTCGATAAAAAACATGGTCATAATCCAAAATGAAGCAAGAGTATAAAGCGAAATTCAAGACTATCAACAAACGATCCCATCATATCAACATCAGAATAACTCAATTTCAAACAATTAAACGAGTCAAAAAAAATTTGACACATGCTTATCCTTCCCCCACTTATTCCGTTTTGTCCCAAAACGTATATCAAATTTAAAAACAAAAAGAGGGAAAAAGAATACTCCCCAATCTAGTGGCTACCACGACCACGCCGAGATAAGCTGTTGTAGAGTAGAATGTCTGATACTGTACTGTTATGTTCGAACTTTTCTACACAGTTTGAACCAAATATGTTTTTTTTGCACTGCATTGTTCGAATCTGCTGTGTATTTTTCTGCACTGTTCGAGCCAAGTCATTTTTTCTGCACTGTTCGAGCCAAGTCATTTTTTCTGCACTGTTCTGTTCGAATTTTTCTGCACAGTTCGAACCAAGTCAGTTTTTCTGTCTGTTTTTTCTTAAATATTTGATCAGAATTCAGATCTATTCAGAAAAAAATAAAATAAAATTACTCAAAATAAAATAAATAGAATGAAGTAAAGTTCGCTGAAAATAAAACGAAAATAAAAACAAAAATATAATGAAATGGGTTACCTCCCATCAAGCGCTTTTGTTTAACGTTGTTAGCTTGACGACCTGATTTTTTAAAGCGTGGGTTCCTCTAAATTGATTTCTTCGATTAGACCATCTGGAGCATTTTCATAATATGGCTTCAATCTTTGACCATTAACTTTAAATCGTACTCCTGAGTTATCTTCAATTTCAACAGCACCGTGAGGAAATACTTGAGTAACTGTAAA